GCTTGTGGGAGTATCCATCTATGGTCTGGACAATCCACTACCTTACCAGCCTCTCTACACACAGAGACTGCTTCAGAGCTATTCAGGGAAAAACATCTGCAAAAGCTCTACATCTATTCAACTCGGGTATCCTCAGAGCAGCTCAATCATTCCAGCTTCAGAAAAAAATGGTTGGTTTTGCTCTTCTACTTTTTCTGTGAGAACTTGCTGATTAAACCAAAATTTCTTCCCTTGTCTGCATCTGGCCTTCCCAGCTTACCTGCAATATCCCACAGCTGTAGTCGTACCATCTCTGAGTCAGACCACTGGAGAACTTTCAGAGCAAAATCCACTGAAAAGATATATTATTCTTTAATACCATTTCCCTTTAAAAATCCAGGGATAAACTCAGATCAAATATGTACTTAAAACACTTAGGACACACAACTCCAATCCCATTTATTTGTTTATTTTATTTTTGAGTCAGGGTTCTCACTCTGTCATCCAGGCTGGAGTACAATGACATGATGATGGCTCACTGCAGCCTTGAACTCCTGGGCTTAGGCGATCCTTCTGCCTCAGCTTCCCAAGTAGCTGGGACTACAGATGTGCACCACCATACCTTGCTAACTTTTTAATTTTTTTAAATTTTTGTATTTTTTATTTATTTTTTTGAGTTGGAGTCTCACTCTGTCACCCAGACTGGAGTGCAGTGGCTGCTCCCGGCCACTGCAGCCTCGACCTGCTGGGCTCCGGTGATCCTTCTGCCTCAGCCTTCCAAGTAGCTGGAACTACAGGCGCGCGCTACCATGCCTGGCTAATATTTTTGATTCATTGTGGAGATGAGGTCTCACCAAGTTGCCCAGACGGGTCTCGAACCCGCGGGCTCAGGCAATTCATTCACCTCGGCCTCCCAAAGCTTGGGATTACAGGCTGAGCCACTGAGCCCTACCTTAATTTTTTTTTAGAGATGAGGTCTCACTGTGTTGCCCAGGCTGGTCTTGAACTCGTGGGCGCAAGCAATTCTCCTGCCTCAGCCTCCCAGTGTTAGGATTACAGGCATGAGCCACTGCCTTATTTTTAAGCCATCAATTGGCTGAGGTGAGTCTACACTTGCATATTAAGTATGCGACAGATAATTCATACTCTCCAAAGGGGTTTCCAGCTTTTCCTCGCCTGTTAAACCAATTTACCTGCTATTACTTGTGTCCAAGGCTGGGGGGACAGGAAGGTGGGAGTAATTATGAAAACAACTCCTATTCTCAGGTTAAACAGTTTCTGGGAGATTCAGGGGTTTTCTCAGGGAAATGATATAATTGTGGTTGATTTTGTATCTTCCACATTCAATTTCAGTGTTGGTTCCTAATCAAATTGTAATATGAGAAGAACACACCGTGGGGAACTCTACATCCTGTATAAGGTTGCAGGAATTATCTTGGGCAGGAATGGGATAAATGGAAAAGGTCCCTGAGGATTCCCAGGAAGAACACACTGCACAGAGCTGGGTTGGAATCTACCACCAAGCCTGCAGATGCTAAGGCTTCATGAGTGAAGGTTGAATGACTATTCCATGGGAAAAGCTTTTTGATAAGGAGAAAAACAGAATATTTTCTGAGGTTTGAATATCCTTCCATGTCTGTGACAGAAATAAAAGCTGGGGAGAGTTTAGAATAAGCACAGGAAAAAAAGTAGCCAGAGTCAATTATATTCTTTGCTAAAGGAAAACCAGGTTAATTGCTAAAAACCAAGTAGCAGGATCCTTTTAACCCAAACCTATGAAACTGGGAAGCTCATATTATTAGGAGTGGGGGCAGAGTGATCAGGATACAGTATTTGAAACTTTAAATCCATAGTTTTGCTGGATGTTTTTAAGGAGGATGTTTTAATTTCATCGTAAATGCTTGTTAATTTTCTTTTAAACTTCCATATGAATACCAGCACACATTTTCAAATTTTCCACTGGCACAAGGTTTTTTCCCCCCTTAAAATGAGTTCTTACAACAGAGACAGCTAAAATTCTAAGTTGTCAGAGCTGACATCATCTCAGCTCTTCCTAGCTAAAACAACTTCTAATTAACAAAAAGGCATTTCTACCTCAGAAAAAAAGTTGAATCCAAAGGTCACACGGGGGAGGGGGGGAGGGAGAAGGGGAATGAATAAACTCTTGGTGGTCCCTTCCTCCCCCCCCCAAGTTTGATGGAAAAAGGGGTGGGAAGATAGGTCACAGAAGTGGTAGTTCCATTCTTCGAAGAATCCCTCGGCTACCTTTATTTAAGCGATCCATAGACAAAAAAGCCCAGCTCATCAGCCACGGCGGGCATCTGATTGTGTAGCCAAGGGGTTCGTTTGGTGATTTTGTGTTTCCCTTCCCATCACATCTCCATAATAAAGCTGGTGTCCTTCAGACCAGTTTCGCTTGCTAGGTTCTGCCCGTGAAGCTAGGTTCAACACCTTTCTCTTCTTTCCTTAACTGCGGTCTGTAACTCCGCGAGATGCAGCACCACAGCCCCAGCGGGGAGCTAACCAGGCCCCACAGAGGGTCTGAGCTGCTTCTGCTGATTGGAAAGATTTGACCTTGACATCTTGGAAGGCTTCAGGAAGAGACATGAGTTCACAGTGCGCCCGCGATAAACATCAGCTGCTAGTTCTCATCCTCCCTTCCCCATCTCTCATTTTCACACCTTTGCCTTATCTCTTTCCAGGCAGTTGGTTCATGCAGGAAAAGGCGAATTGGGGAAACCCAACAGAGGCCTGCAAATCAAAAACCCAGCAACTACTCCCTCTAGGATCCCAGACGCCGACTTCCTGACCCGAGGAAGGCCCCGAGGGACACCAAATCGCCCCTCCCGCCCCACCTGGGCCCGCAGCCGGAGTCACCCCGGCCGGGGCCTGCGCCTGCTCCTCCCCCCGCGACGTCTCACCTCCCACCGTGGACTTGTAGTGTTTGCTGAAGCTGTCCTGGGAATATCGCTGCACCAGCGACGTCTTGCCCACCGCGGCGTCCCCCACCACCAGAACTTTGAACAGGTGGTCGTGGCTGCCCATGGCTAGCAGGGTGTGCGTGGAAGGGAGGCGGGAAGTGGGGGAAGTCGCTGGTTTTAACCCCTTTCGTTCTGGACCCTCTTCAAGCTAAAGTTAGGCATTCCCACCCACCGCCTGTCGGGGCTGATCTGACGAGAAAGCAAAAAAGGAAACTTTGCACTCAACCTATACGCGCTTCCTCCCTGCGCGGCCGCAGCCTGGGTGGGGCGCAGGGCGCGAGCTCAGAGCCCCCGGCTGCTCGCACCTTCTCCCCCTTCCTGCCTGGCTGCCGGGAAACCCGACCAGGCACCGCGGAGCCTCACCCACCCGTACTTCCCCCGAGCAGCTCCGGTCAATGGCTGAACCCCAGTCGGCTCATTACACGGTCGGGGCCAGATGTTGGGGGCCCGCCCCTGGCTGCACAAACCAAACTGTGGGGAAGAAATCCCTTACACCTCGATTCCCTTGACCCTGTACCGTCCCTGGTTGCGCGGTTTCTCTAGCCTCCCTCCTCAAGCGTCACGTGCACGGTGACTTGAAGAACTACACCTCCCAGTTTACCTTGCGGTAAAGAGAGCTAGCTGGACGCGGAGATTCACCGCTAGGCCTCCTGGGAAATGTAGTCTAGACACTATTTTTGTTTTACACAGTTTCAAGGCTTTCAAACTCCTTCAACTTTTTAAAGCCATTCTGGCTCCGTAGAGAGCCCTTAAGAGGATATTTGTTCAAGATGATCTCGCCTGCCTAAATCTGTCCCCAGATAGTTTTGTGCTATCTTTGAAGGTTTTATGGAGTTAAGATTAAAAATTATTCCATTAATAAAAGCCTAAGCCTCGTCCATCATGCTCCAAGTGAAGTCCCTTTCCTATTCCTCAAACAGGTAGACAAGCTCAGGACCTTGTGAACATTTTCCTTATGACCCAATACCAGGCAAGTTCAGGAAAACTTGACCCAAGAGACCAATACTTAGCAAAACTTATACCAAAAATTACAGCATTTAATAGCAAGCAACAGTAATCAAGAAAGAAAACAAGAGACAGTTAGTTCCTCATTTACACTGCCACAATCCATATTGTAGCCACACTACTTATTGGAGCTGGAAGCTAATTGAGGTACAGTGGGGATCCTTCCCCTTTTATTAATGCTGTTGTTGCTCATGAATCATACAACTACAGTTTGGTAAATTTTAATTTTTTAGCTTGTAACTTTTCTGACTGGCCCACTCTTTAGGTAAAAGTTGGCAGGAAATGAGCTCAATGACAAGCAAAGAGAATTTCATTCTCTATGCCTTTTCCACAATAAAGGAAGAGAATCAGTAGGGGCCGTGGAAAAATAGCCCAGAGCTTGATGACACTATGAAATCAAATCCTGCCGAGGTCTCTTGGCAGAGAGGCTACCACTTATGTTCTGTGAGGAAAGACCATGGTTCACAACATGTGAACATACTGAACCCAACATGTTTGTTACCCAGGTACAGGAGGCTAGATTAGTCTACTCATCTTTAAGGATCCAATTTTGTCAGTTCCTATTTGCTTTGACATAGCTGACCACTTCTTGACATTTGTTTCCCATGTGGGTTCGATGGCACTCTTCTTTGTCATTCTCCTACATCTCTGATGATTAACTTTTTCTTTCAAGTTTCTCTTCATTCCATCTCCCCCTAAGTATTTCTTAAGGATTAATTCTTGGTCCTTGAGTTCATCATTCTATAAATTCTTTACTCTAGCAAATTGTCTGTGGCTTCAAATATCTCTCTGTCTTCACTTTATTTGCTCTTTATCTCCAATCAATTATGTTCAACTGCCCAAAAGGCACTTCCACTTGGATGTCCAGCCACATCCTCCCTCTCACTATGTTGCCACAAAAATAGCTCCTTTTTCTCAGCTTCCCTATTTCTGTCACTGGCCTCATCATTTCTTCCTTCCATGTAAACTTCAGATTTTGAGCACTATTAACACTTCCTTTTACACATGTCGCTTTACTCCTCAGTAGGCTTTAAAAAAGTCAGTTACAACATCCGATTGATTCTTTCTTCAGTGTATATTTCTCCTACTCAGCCTCTCTGCTTCAGATCCAGTAGTACTTTCCTAGTTCAAGCTTTACACTTGGCTTACTGCAGTAACCTGTTTACTGGCCTCTCTGATTCTATTTTTTCCCCCTTTAATTCATCCTCTCCAACTGGCCAGAATGGTTTTCCTAAAACATCATTGCTTGTTCCTTCATTGTCTACCAACTATCTTCCCAAAATGGGCCAATCCCCCTGAGCTGGTGTTCAAAGCTCTCTCTGCACCTCTCTGCACCTGCCCCAGCCTATGTAACTAATTTTATCTCACCTGACCTCAAATGGGAATTTCCTCCCTCCAGCAAGGTAATAAGGGTCCTTATATTCTTTAAAAGCTTAATTTCATTTTTGATTTTGTGTCTTTGTCCAGGATGCTTCACCTATCAAAATACTCTTCAGGTTTCTTTCCACATATCTTTAGATCTTACCACACTTTAAGCGCTCAAGCTTTAGTGTGCGTAAGAATCACATGGGGTACTTGTTAAATATGAACATTCTGATTATGTAGGGTTGGGTAGATTCCCAGGGGAATCTGCACTTTTAGAAAGTACCCATGTGATCGTTAGGCCACTTTGAGAAGTGGTGCTTCAAGGTCTGACTTACATGTCGACTATAATTGATGAACTTTTCGGCTTATTATGGCAGTCCTTGTTGGTCACCTGTAGCATTTATATTCTGTTTGCGTTTTGGTCACTTAACTATGAGAACAATTTATAATTATTTAATAAGCTAAAATTCCTTCAAAATTTTGACCTTGGCCTTGATTATCTGTGAGAGGAACTTCTCTTAGGGTCCCAAATCAGAAAGATGAAGAGTGAAGATTTAAGAGGGAAGATTAGCAAATTTCTGATACTTCACCCAAGTCACAGAGTTTCTATCAAAGGAATTATCTTTTTTTTGGTGGGGTTGGGAGGTGTATTTCTTCAATACTAAATTGCAGTTCTGTTGTAGTTTTCCAGAGGGACAGTTATAAATAAGAGAGAAAAAACACATTCAGAGTGCCAAACGATTGATTGGCATATGCAGTTGACCTCTGAATAACTCAGGAGTCTGGAGTGCTTAGCCACTCGCCCTGTTGAAAATCCAAGTATCATTTTTTGTTGTTGAGTCGGGGTCTGACTCTGTCGCCCAAGCTGGAATGCACAGTCACCACAGCCTCCTTGACCTGGGCTCAGGCGATCCTTCTGCCTCGGCCTCCTAGGATCACTTTTTTTTTTTTTTTTTGAGTTGGAGCTTCACTCCATCACCCAGATTGG